CCCTGCGGGAAAGCGCTTCCCTATTTGACCCCTGTTCAGCGGATGAGCCTAAATGGTTAACAGAGAACAAAAACGAGGGGAAAACAGGGAAGAAAAGGTCCCCAAGGGAACAGACATCTCTCAAGGCAGCTCCACATGCCAATACGGACCAGCACGTGCGAGCCGGGACATACTCCACCACCTGCACAAAATACCAGCAGAACAGAGAGAACTACGGAAACGGCTTTTTCTTTCTTTCTTTCTTTCTTTTTTTTTTTTTTTTTTTACTGCATCCTTTTAAGACAGAAAGAAAGACTGCCCCTTTGATGAAGTGGTGACCAGGTAAGAGGAACCCAGACAGAACCCAAGCCCTGTCACCAGGACGTGCTTGGGGGGCTGCATCAATCACTTTTTCTTGAACCAGCTTAGCCACCTGAGCACTTTACTGTCAGAGCCAATGAAACATGTAACATCCAATGTTCTCGATGCAAGAATGTTCTCGAAACTCTTTCTCGTCTCCATTTCCACTCAACGGAATGTCCACAGGAAAAGTCACTGAGGTATTCTTGATCTTTTGTTCCCCAAACTCAAATCCTACAAAGAACTTAACTCAGCAGTTGCCCTTGGGGAGCTGATCACGGTGACAGTACCAGACGTCTGAACCACAGCATAAAGCTCCTCGTCACAAGATAGTGGAGGCAAGTAAGGGAAAGATTAGTTTACCACTGGGGCTTCAAAAACAGAAGTTTGAGCCAGAGTATATCAGCTCAAACTAGCACCCCTTCCAATATCACACGTTTCCTGGTTTGCACAATAAATCATATGGTCTCTCTAGCTTGAATTCGTTTCACTCAACATGCCCAGTTACTTCCATATATCTGTAAAACACATTTATCTACTGCCCAGAAGTTGCCTCATGGAGAGAAGCAAGTGGTAGAGATAAAACCGCTGACGGACGCGCACTGTGAAATACATCTCACCAACACCAACCTACACTTCACCACAAAAAACAAACCAAAAATGCCACAAACAAGGGATTTCCCTGGTGGCACAGTGGTTAAGAATCCACCTGCCAAGGCAGGGGACAGGGGTTCAATCCCTGGTTCGGGAAGATCCCACATGCCACAGAGCAACTAAGCCCGTGCGCCACCACTACTGAGCCTGCACCCTAGAGCCCATGCGCCACAACTACTGAGCCCACGCGCCGCAACTACTGAAGCCCGCGCACTCTAGGGCCTGTGCTCCGCAACAAGAGAAGCCACCGCGGACGGCCCAAAAAAAAAAAAAAAAAAAAAAAAAAAAAAGCCACAAACAAACTCAAGGGTATTCTATTTAAATGGATGGGTTTTCCGTTAGAAGGTTAAATTCACTGCAGTGGAGAACATTACTGAATATACCAGACCAACACCTTAAGTAAGCAGGCATGCCTGAAAAGTGGGTATCAACTGGGTGTGTTTAACTGTAAAAGACAATAATTTATAAACAACAGGAAATTTTTAAATCCCACAATGGTCGCTAATAAATGTCTCAGAAACACTGGTGACGTAGCCTGACTTGAACACTTAATCCAAAGGGTCCATACTATCACTTGCTAGAGCTCAGACTTCCAACGTAAATTCCAATCACCCAACAATTAAGAACTCCTTTACTTTACCCTAAATCTAAGGTGCCATGACCCAACTAGTACACAGTTTCTAACTGTCTAAAAGAATCATCTTCAAAACCACTGGTTTTTAAATAAGATTCATATTTCAACATTGCTCTAGAAAACAATCCTCTCTCACATGTGAGCGTGTACACAAATATACACACACATCCCCCCATTTAACTGAGCTCCCACCCCTAAAATCAACGGCATGGTATAGAGCACACACGTCTACAGACTCATCACCGAAATACCAAAATGTAAATGATACTCTACTTGTCCACTTGTATCTGCAGCCTGCTGGAAATGAGTGGCCAGCGACGTCTCATCCTGGAAAACTTCATTACACTCCAAACATTTCAGACTATGCCTACAGAGCTTGGATGGGTCTTCATCCAGAGGCATAGCTGGAATGATGGGTGTGCTGGAAGGGGCTGATATGACTGTCCCGGTTATGCCAGACTGAATTTTTGTTACAGTGTGTGTGCCGGCTCCCGAGGAGCTTGGGAGGGCGGAAGATGAAGCAGGAGTATTGCTTGATGGAGAAACAATCATCTGATCTGCTGGGACAGGCTTCAAGATCAAGTGTGAACACTGCATCACCACTCCCTTCTCCTTGTGCCCACGGGCATGGGACAGGAGACTGCACTTGTTGTAAAAAACGAGGTTCTTGGTGCAGTGGTTGCACGTTACTTCGATGCGCACGCTGCGCCTGTCGTAGTGTTGGGTCAGGCTCTTCTCGAGGGCGAAAGAGTCCCCACACTCCAAGCACTTGTAGCCGCGGGTCGGTAACGTGATGCCCGCGTTCGCAGGAGGACTAAGGTTGGGGATGTAAACTGGGACTGGGTTGACGCTGCTCAGCACCTTGTTGAAAGCTTCCACCACAGAACTCTGCAGGGAGGACACCACCTGGACCCGCGACACCTTCTTGGGTGGCTGTGAGGCCGCGGCACTGATTATTGCCTGCTTTATTTGCTGCTGAGGTTTGGTGAGCACCTGGCGGAGCTCGGAGGTGGCCTGGGCGCCCTGAGGCAGAAGGTTAAGGTTGGCAAGGTGCACAGTCTTTGGCACGAGTTTGGCGTTGGCCAAGCTGGAGGCCGGCACCACGACGGTTTGCTGCTGGATGGCGTTGGCGGCTTTAATGATGGCACTGCTGGCGCTCTGCACGGAAGCAGCAGATATGACCGTGGCTTTGACCGTCGTGTTGTTGGCGAGCTTCAAATTAATGACTTGAGACCCGGCCGTCTTCACAGCCGACACCGGGAGGAAGGCAGTCGCCACAGGCTTGATGGTGACCTGTTTGGGGGTCAGCTCGGCGGGGGCCACCGCGTTGGTAACGACCGCCGATTGCAGAGGCGCCCTGGGCGGGGAGGAAAGGACGGCGGCCGAGGTCGGAGACGACAGCAGCGACGTCACGGACGCCACCATGGACCCCGTCTGCTCAGAAGGCTTTTTTCCGGCATCGAGATCAACTTCAGGCAACACCCTCGTCACTGTTCTCTTGATTTCCCCAGAAGACGTCTTGATGGTTTTTATGCGGACTTTGGGAATTGCTGGTGTTGACCCTGCAGGAGAGGATGGCGATCCCTTGCTACTGTTCTCACTGGAAATGCTCCTGGGACTATCCGGCTGCTTAAGGGACGCTTTTTTTGTCCCATCGATGAGACTCTGGGACTCCGGAGACTTTTCAATGGCTCTAGGGCTATCGTTTACTTCTTTTGGTAACGGAGAGGCCTCCCGGGAGTTGGTCACTGGTTCTTTAGAGGAGTCAGAAGCGGCCTTTTTAGCACTAAGAGCCGCAATTGCAGCGATGCAGGAAGAGAGCTTGGAGGATGGCTTGGTCCTCGAGGGCACCACACCGCCGAGGGAGGCGTCATTCTTCTCCGAGCTCAGCTTGCCCTCGTGGACCCTGTTTTCAAGCACCTTTTCAGAGTTTTCTTTCAGTTTATCCTCCATTTTTCTGACTTTGAAAGGTTCATAAACACTCAGATTTATAGAATTTGTTTCCGTTTCTCTCTTGACAACTTTGTTTTTCTCTAGGTTGCCTGTCGTAGAGATGCCAGTTTTGCTTAAGCCTTCTCCCCCGAGTGCCTTCAGTTTGTCATAGTCCTGTTGGGGAACCGACCCTGTCAACACATTTGATCTGAAACCGGAGCGCATGTCCTCTTTGTCCGGGGGGTCGTCCACCTCTATCTTCTCATCGTCGTCAAACTCTTCAGCACTGGAGATGGGGCTGAACTGGCTGAAAGCGGAGTCTTTTAAAGTCACCTCTGAGGTAGGCACGTCTCCTTTCAAGGACTTTGATCCATCTTTACTGTAAGTGTCCAGAGAGGACGCCGAGAGAAACCCGTTGTGCAGGCCGTTGCCGGTGGGATTGTGGCCGTCCTTCTCTGCGCCCTCGGAGGAGTCGATGTTCCGAACATTCTTCACAATAACACTGACGCCGACGTCGGAGGAGGACGGCGTGTGGGAGTCGTCATCCACGTGGGCGTTCTGCTTGATGTGGCTTTCCTGGTCGTCGTGTCCAGACTCAATAGCTGCTTTGGGATCGACCATATCTGGGATGTCAAATGCTGCCAGGAGGTCATCAAAGTCTGGGGTCTTCATATCCCCCATGGTCATGAATTTGATCAGATGTTCTGTTAAACGAACAGAAAACAATTCCATCAGCAATGAGCATGCAGATAAACATCCCTATGGGACTTACACGAACAGTGATGATTATCACGAAAGAGCAAGTTGCCAACTGCACTTATTATAATGTCAGGACATTGAGCCAAAGTGAACAAGCATCTGGAAAACAGGTATAAAGCCCTGACGATTACCGCTTTGAAGTAATTCCTCCAAAAGGCCGTGCAGCATGGCCAGCGTGTAGCCTCTCTAACAAGCTGATCAAAACTATTATAGCACGAAGAGCAGGTTCCGGTGTAACGACTAGAAAATGTTATTTATCGTTGGATTCACCTCACCATTTTCACAAAAAGCTACTTCCAAACATATCTTGATCTTGACAGCATTTAATTCTACTGGCAAAATTATTGCTAACACAGTCACCGTCAGATTTGGGATATCACATTAAAAGCAATATATTACAGGCAAAACTCCAATTACAGATTTCAATTCATCCACAGAAGTGAGCATCCCAACCCAGCACCGGCCGTCTACTGCTAATAAAGTTCCGTCTGAGATTTTCAAAAATCCCCCAGGAGCTCATTCCATCACTTTTTACTTAATCTTAATTCCCTCCATTGTGTTAGGGGAAAAAACCACTCTCCAGGCAGAAAAGTGTAGTGTCCCTTCCATCTCCCTCCCTAGTCCAGTGGTTTTGCTAGTTAAGGGAATGCACAGCTGTTTCCTAATCACTACTCAGCCAACACAGTCTTGCAAATGGCTATGGCAGCTGAGAAAGGCCTTCCATGAAATTACTCCCAGCACGTGACAACATGGACCCAAGGACGTGACAGAGCCCAGGGGAGGAAGGCCCTCTCTTTGGCAGCCAGGCTAGATCAGGGTGGACAGCAGTCTATGAAGAAGTGCTCGCACTGGGGCTGCCCTGGTGGTGCAGTGGTTGGGAGTCCGCCTGCCGATGCAGGGGACACGGGTTCGTGCCCCGGTCCGGGAAGATCCCACGTGCCGCGGAGCAGCTGGGCCCGTGAGCCATGGCCACTGAGCCTGCGCATCCGGAGCCTGTTGCTCCGCAACGGGAGAGGCCACAACAGTGAGGCCCGCGTACCGCACAAAAAAAAAAAAAAAGAAGTGCTTGCATTAATGTGCACGAAGCCCTGGATGATAGGAGGATGGAGAGTTTTAGGAAAATGGACAGTCACAGCCGTTACTAAAGATGAAGGATATATAAATACACAGACTGCTTGGGGGCTTTACAAGGGGCCCTTCCACTGTAGGGGAGCTCTTCCTCCTCCCTGAACCCCCAGAGCACTCCATCTTATGATTCAGTTATGCTCTGTATGTATTACAGTGTGTGTGTACTTGTCTCTTCTTACCTACTGGCCTGGTCAACTGCCTGAAGACAGGCAATGTCCCACTTGCCTTTGCACCACAAATGCCAAATAACCAACAGGACACAAGTCAGGGACCAGAACACAGGACTTACAGTAAGAACAGGCCTTGACCCTGCTCTGCAGACAACTCACACTGCCTCTGAGACCCTCAGGAAGTAAGGGGATCTCTCCAGGCCTGTTCCTTCCTTCTGCCGTGGAGGCCAGCAGCCAGGAAGAGAAGGAAAGGGAAGAGGGAGAATGAAAAACTGGGAAGGGAAGGAGAGGGAGAGAAAGAAAGCAAAGGAGAGGAAGGGAAGAAGAGAGGGGAACCAAGAAGCAAATCCATGTTGGAAGAAACAAGGATCGCAGCTGATCTTAGGCAACTTTCAATGGAAGAATCGGCCTAAGTGATTTGTAGACACCTAGACTCTTTCCTTGTCAATATTTACTACATCATTCCTCCTTTAAGTCTGCTTTAAATCACTGAGAAGTTGTCTTTCACATTTTACGGAAGTATTTAATGATTTTTTTCTTGTACAATCTGTAAAAAATCATGCATTCCTAATAAAAATAACTATATGAGGATCACAGTAGGATTTCTACTCAGGCAACAATAAACATAATAATGTGAAAATTCACATTAACCATAAATCCATCATCAGCTGCTAAGACACCCTCAGCATATTCACCCACTCTGGGACACACCCAAACACTTCAAAGAACTTCGTTGGGAAAAACTACTGTTGAAGATGAAACAAACACTTATGGCTCAATAGGAGCTGAAGAATAAATCACTTTCCAGGGCTTCCCTGGTGGCACAGTGGTTAAGAATCCGCCTGCCAATGCAGGGGACACGGGTTCAAGCCCTGGTCCAGGAAGATCCCACATGCCACGGAGCAACTAAGCCCGTGTGCCACAACTACTGAGCCTGCGCTCTAGAGCCTGCTAGCCACAACTACTGAGCCCACGTGCCACACCTACTGAAGCCCATGAGCCTGGAGCCCGTGCTCCGCAACAAGAGAAGCCACCACGATAAGCCCGCGCACTGCAACGAAGAGTAGCCTCCGCTTGCCGCAACTAGACAAAGCTCGCGTGCAACAACGAAGACCCAAAGCAGCCAAAAATAAATTAATTTTTTTAAAGTGCATTAATAAAGAGATAAAGCAACATAAAATATCATTAAAAAAAAAAAGAATAAATCACTTTCCATGCACTTATGTCTCAGAAGTCACAGGTACTTTTCTCTAGATGGTTTGCTTGGCCTAGAGAGAACACTCTGGGCCACTTTTCTCCCAGATGGGTGCCTGCAGGACCGGACAGGGAATAATGCACCCCCGGCATCAAAGTACAAAACTTCTAAGCATATGATGACATGAAAACATCTATATGAAGTCAAATCTAGCGAGAAAGCTTGATATTATGATTTTCTTTTTTAAATGAAGCTGAACTGTAAAATATGGGCAATGAAAAATCCATCTGTCAGACAATATACCCACTTAAGAGTCCACCCACTTAGGAATAATCCCTGAATGTCACCAGTTTGTTTGTTTGTTTTTAATTTATTTATTTTATTTATTTTTGGCTGCACTGGGTCTTCGTTTCTGAGCGTGGGCTTTCTCTAGCTACGGCAAGCGGGGGCTACTCTTCGTTGCAGTGTGTGGGCTTCTCATTGCAGTGGCTTCTCTTGCTGCGGAGCACGGGCTCTAGGCGCGCGGGCTTCAGTAGCTGTGGCTCGCAGGCTTAGTTGCTCCATGGCAAGTGAGATCTTCCCAGACCAGGGGTCGAACCTGTGTCCCCTGCATTGGCAGGCAGATTCTTAACCACTGCGCCACCAGGGAAGTTCCTCACCAGCTTTATTTTTAAGCATCATACTGCCTTTATAAATTGAATACTCACAATAAAACCACCATTAGCGAAGCATCCCTATGATCTATCTTTACCAGCCATGATGGTCCAAGTTTGTAGATCACTTTTTAGAGAATTCAAAACATAGACTCATGAACCACCCCCAAAACCCCACTGGAGTCGAATGGGCCTGAAAGGTGGTTTTTTAATGCCACCACTTATCCAAAGCTGGGATCCAGGCTCTGGATATCCCCAGTGGTGGCTGGGCTCTGCCTAAATCCCTCAACCCTTTCTTTACAGCTACATGGGATTTATGTCATTTGCCCTCTCCTTATGATTTTGGTGAGCAAAAGACGTTCATCCAGTTTCACACCATTCATCCTAGAGGGCAGTCAGTTCAGGAACAAAAAGAACATAACAGAAAATTCAAATACTCAGTGGGTGGTAGGCCCAGAACACACAACCACAAGAAATGATAAAAGGGTCACCACGTGAAACACAACTTGCTAAGCGACTGGCAGTTCACACTGGCAGTGCAGCTGGCAGGCATTCTGATGAATACTTGGAAGATCAGTATATGATTCGTACTGTCTCCCTCCAGTTTACACACAACAGGGACCTGTCTGCTTTATGGACACACAGGTGCTCACATATGGCGGCAGCGGCAGCAACATTAAATCTTATAGTCAATGGTAGGATGTCGCCCACCACACTGCCAGTATCTTTTCCTACCTGCACAAGTAAAGCAGAGTGAAGGCTCGGAAAACCCCAGAGAGGAACCTCCACGCCTGCAAACCCCCCAAGGGGTCCAGAAGACATTCCTGATGCAGGAACAACTTTTTCTGTGGACATCTAGCCATACCTGCCCCCACCCCCTTCCTCTAAACGCCTAAGATGTATATACTCTCTCTTTAGGGAAGAAGATAAACCCAGATGAACTCTTTGGGGTGAGGTACTGGGACACTGTGGAGAGGGAAGAGTGAATTAGCAGCGGTTTAAAAACATATGAGTCAGCTCTCCTAGTTCACCTGAAAGAATCCTGACTATAAGGTGAAAATGCACAGCGGGCATAACAGGCCAAGTGCAGCGGCCACTGAAAGCACATCGCGTTGTCTGAAACCCAAGACCATAGTGGCGGTGAGTTCACCTCTCCCGGGTTGTATAATCAATGTAATAAACACCGCTGTCTGTAACTTCACACTTCTTTTTTGGTTTATAGAAATGTCTGTCATGCCCACAATCACACCGTCCTATTACTACCCTCACCCTTCCCACATTCTGGAAGGCAAGAGTGAATTTACCACTTGGGGGAAAAATGCTTAACTCCTGCTTCATTTCTCCGTTCTGTCAAGTACAGAGAGAAATGTTTATGTTCGAAAGTTTTCTTTACTTTTGTTCACCCCAATTCCTAAGTACTGTTTTAAAAATAGATTCTTCTGCTTAAAAACACTACAAAGACAAATCTCAGTCTTCTCGTTTAAAAGATAAGATAAAAAGATCTCATTTTAGCTTCCCTTTCGCTGGACAGCTTGACTTTCAAACAGAATTAGTTTTAGTTATTGCAACAATGTCTTTCATCCCACTTAAACCCTGTGAAATACAGCTTGCTTCAAAGGCACTAACAGTCTTTTAATTTAAAACTAAACCCCCTATAAATAACGTATAATTCACTAACAGCATTTGTGCTTGACGTATAAAAGTCCTTTCACCTTGAAAATGTCTGGGGGGGGGGGGG